ATAAACAAACATGTCCATTCTTAAAAGTTAATTTTTAAAATTCTGAAAGTATTTTGATCACGAGTCCAAGAGGATATAGAAACACGCTTTATATTGCAATGTAATGCAAGTACTTAATTTAAAAACAGTTTCGCTCTCCTAAAAAACTGTTTTCTGCGGATAGGGCTTAAATACTTTGTTATTAAGTGCTCTCCAAATCAAATTAACATTTTAAAACCCACTTGAAAAGTGTTAATGGGAAGTAGATACCTACTTAGGGTCACGTGTATTAATTAGATTATTTGTAATTCATAAAATAATTAGGCAATAGGTACCTATACAAATATATAAATACAAATTAACAAAAGTAATAATAATATAATAATCAAGACTCACAAGCTTTGGAGTAAAAAATAACAGTGAAAGAAACTGATTCCAAAATCAATCAATGTTAATTAAATTGATATCTAAAAATCTTATTAAATTAATTGATGTCTAGACGTGGAATACAATTTTTTCTTTTTATAGACTCCTATTTCCGAGTCCCTAATGATTGTCTTGTTTGAATTAATGACTGTATAACTGTATATAAAATGCATAAAGAGCCTTAGACCATAAATGCATACATCTAAAGTTTATTTTAAAGAAAAGAATACATTTCTATCTTCAAGCGTTCTATAATTTAAGTTTTATTATTGTCAACGTTAGGCTGTTAAAATAATAGACCACCCAAGTAGCATTATAGTGACGAAAACTGATATCACCACTTTAAATGAGTGGCAATAACGTTTAAATAACTAAATCTACCACGATACAGTTAAAATATCTCCATATTATATTACCATAGTTGTAATCATGTGATTTGCACCAGCAGAATATACTTTATAGTTTTATAACTTTTTGGTGTATTAGTCTGGTATCTGAAATGTTATGACCACTTTTGACACCACCTTAAAATTGTCTAAACTTTAGAGTGGATTATGAATAGTAACTGTAACCAAATCACATCACTTAAGTATTACTTTGAAGAGGTAGTAGCAGTAAAGTGGGTATATCAGTTTTGGTAACGTTTTCGGAACTTTTTCCAAATCTTGAATGTGGCAAAACTTGATTATATAATTGCGGTGGTGAGTTCCACGTTCTTGCTACATGCTTAAGTGATTTCAACATTTCGTATAAAATTACCACTTTAAAGTCCCCTTCTTTTAAAGCAGACATGTAGGGAAATAAATGTGTAGTTTTAAACAAATAATTCTGGTTATTACCGCACCAAATTTAACACGTTAATACCTATTTATTGGTTTCAGGCAGGGCCGTAGCGACGGGCTCAGGGGCCCCGGTGCAAAACTTTTGGATAGGATAGGATATCGAAAATTACGATTTTTTAGTAAAACTTTTTAGTTTTGGGGGCCCCTTTGAGGTCGGGGGCCCTGGTGCACCGCACCGCCTGCACCAGCCTCGCTACGGCCCTGGTTTCAGGTGACCAGAAATATATTTTTTTATTATAATAAAAAAATTATTTTAGTCCTCTAAATAAATAATTTTTATATCCGCTAAGTTTATAGATTTTTTTATTCTTTTTATTACCACATATTTCAACAGGGCATGCTTATATTTCAAGCTTTGATACCCATATTTAACAGGATTATTTTAATTCTAGTTGACAACTAGTAGTTGTTATTTGCAAGTTGTACTCTTACAATATTATAATTCAGTGTTAGTTTAATATCCAGTCAGAGAAAGCAAAGATAATAAGATAAATAATATGCTGGAAAGAGATGGGGATAGAAAGTAAAGATTAGTAAAGTTATGATTAAGTTTTGGCCACTATACCTCCACGTTACTGACACTAAAAAAGTGTTCCCCATTTTAGTTACTTCCACGTAATAGAACCGTTTCTACCACGTGGCATAGATTTTGGCAATATACTTTACAGTTCTAAGTATAAGTGGCCAACACGTTTTAACCACTATAAATGCTACTTGCAAGCTGGTGAAGTTTTTTACATCCTAGTCTGTAAAAGAACCGTTAGGCCCAGAGCTGGGAAATTTACTTCTGAAAAGGATCTAGTTACTTTTCTAAGATACTTTAAACAAAATAACTTAGTTACCTACCTCTGGTAACTAGATACTTTGAGTTAAAAGTATCTTTAGTTACAAGATACTTTAAAAAGTATCTAAGATACTATCCGAAAGTATCTAAGATACTATATGAAAGTATCAAAGATACTTTTGAGTAACTAAGATACTTTTGAGTAACTAAGATATTTTTAAGTAACTAAGATACTTTTAAATAACTTAGTTACTTTTATGTTTGAATAAAAACTAATAAATTATAAAAATTCAACAAGTTGTAGGTTAGGTAATTACTTTAAATCATTCTGGAATACCCCCAATTTTCTCTAAGAAAGTATCTATACTTTACTATACTTTTCAGGGTAACTTATAAGTTACACTGAAAAGTATCTAAGTTACTTTAAAAAGTATCTTAGTTACTTTAAAAAGTATCTTAGTTACTTTACCGAGTAACTTGAATACTTTTTAAGATACAAGTTACAAGATACTTTTCCAAAGTAACTAAGTTAAGTACGTTTTATGTATTTTTTTTTAACAAATAAAACTGTGCCTTGAAGATAAAATGTTGTATGTATGCAATTCGGCTAATTCTGTTTGTGCTACTCAATTTTATGCATTGCACTGTGGTTTGTTTGCCTTAAAAGTCCGACAAAATACAAAAAATAAATTTAAGAAAATAATGCATAGATTATATAAAGTTATAGTCCTTACAAGCGAATGTAAAGTGATTAGATGTAGGCAATTATTGTATTGTAATTAACTTTTTAAGTGAGCGCTGCGACAAGAGCGAGAATCCTCCAGAGTTAAGCTAAATAATATGTCTACTTTAAGACATAGTTATAAAGAATGTTTAGCACCGATGTTCATTCTGAAAGATGGATTCAACTTAAGTCTCTATTTTCATAATACTTGTACAAAAACTTGTTTTATACTTTAAAACCTCTATTAATTAAGTTCTTTTATTTATTTTTTTTTGGAAAATATTTTTTAATTTAATGAAAAAGTTATATAGTTCCAAATAGTTCTGTATAAAAGATTATTTCACCTGATAGGTTATTAAATAAGCTATTGATTGGTTTAAGTAACTTGGACCGCAACTGAGTCGGTCTTAAAAAAATCTTCGCGCTTCACACTGAAATGTACGCTGCTTTAAGACAGTGTTATGAAAAGTGTATAGTACCTATTTTTATCTAAAAAAAGATTTAACTAAAAAAATTGTGTTTTTTCATAATCTTTACACAAAATTTAGCTTTGTAATTTAGATCATTAAATTAATTTCATTAATTTTGTTCGTTTGGTGAGAAAAATTAACGATTTTTTTTGTAAATTATTGTTTTATATTATGAAAAAGTTTGAAGAAATATTACTTTATTTAGTGCATTTAAACATGTATGTTTAATATAGTAAAAGTATATTTTGTTAATAATATTTTTATTATTTAAATACCGATAATTCGCTTTCTAGTTTTTAATTTATAATATTTTCAATTCAATTCGTTAATACATCTTAATATTTTTTTTTACATTTTTGATTTTTTTTAAATTTTGACATCAGATTCGATCTTGCCATACTTCAATAAATATGTAAACAAATTTTCAATTAATTCGTACGTGTAATTCTATTTTGGAAAACTTTTCATGCCCTACGAACCACAGTGCGTTGGCCTTCAAACTTTGAGCTCAGCACAAGAAGACTCACATCTCGGTCTTAATAATAAGAGAATACCTACTTTTATAAATAATTTTTTTTTAAGAATTATTTATTGGTTATTAAAGACTTAATAATAAAGAAATATTTATTTTACCTAACAATAAAAATAAACTGTAATATTCAACTGCCTTTAAAAATAATGCAAAATAATTTATTTAATATAATAAAAATTACGTATCGATGCTATACCACGCAATAGGGGAAATCTATGTATACTATACATTGTATAGGTATACACAAATCTATAGTAGAACTATTTTTAATATTACAATTAAAAATCAATAATATTTTTATTTCTTGTTAAATAAATGTTTCCTTTATGCATTTTATAAGGTCTATGCTTTTACTGTATTTTTTAAAATATTAACTACTTAAGAAGTATTTTTGTCTGTATCTATATATTTAAAATATAGGCTAACAGTTAAACAAAAGTCAAATATCAAACTACATAGATAAGATAGCATTTGCGATTTTATATCGAAGTCACAGCAACGTTGACTTTGAAATCATACTGTCGTCTTATGAAATCATATGTGATTTTGTTATGATTGTTATGGTTTATTTATCATACAGAGTCTGTATTACAGACACCAGTATGAAATCACGCTTGATTTTGCAGAAAATTCCTCATATTATGTCCCACAGGCTTCATGGTGATATTGCGAAGTGGAAAAAAATCGCCGAAAATCTATCTGGGAATAGACACACCTTTCGCATTTTATAACGAGATTAGGCCTTTACAATTCAATTTTAATTTGGGTTAAAAGGTTGCAATACAAAAAATATACCTACAGCCATTATGCTAGATACAGGTAAATATTTTTCTTTTGTAACCAAAAAATCCACCCTCATAAACTAAACATGTGCAAACTTGTTTTAACTCTTTGTTTATCCTGGGAAAATATATTAACTTAATCATTCTAAAAACAAAATCTTAATAAAATGCTCAGAGACGCTAGTCTATGAATATGCTGAAACTTTTTAGATTATAATTTAGTCCAAGTCATATTTTTTATCAATTTTATTTATTTTTCTTTCAACAATAGTAATTCAAACTTAGTTCAATAATAAGAAAAATAGAATATTATAGTTTTGTTAGAAATACAAACTATGTATACCTACAAAGTGTATAAAATGCACGTGGGTATTTACAAAAACAGGAAAAATATAAGATTTCTTTCTTCTTCGGTTTACCTGAAGCTTGCCTTTAAAGTGACGTCCTTTTCTTTGTTGCAGTTGAAGTGCAGGTGAATGGCGAACCAATCAAAGTTGAGATTTGTGACACAGCTGGAGAGGTAAGATTTTTCTTCTTTTTTTTAAATTTAAGTACGGCCACTTTAACTTTGATTTTATATTTTATAAACACAACTTTTATCGAGGGATCATTCAAGTATTTTATAACTGATGTTTTTATAATTATATTGCAATATTGTTATCAAATTACACAAATAGACTTTTAATTAACAATGAAAAATCAATTAGTTTTATTTTGTGTTTAATTTTTATCGAAGTAAAGACAAAAACGTCGAAGGTTGAATTACTCATAGATAAAAATAATGTTTACCTAAATATTAATAAAAAATGTCAATATTAGACCTTAACTACGCATATACAAAATACAATGGTTTAATAAACGGCATTTTATTTACGAGTTTAAATTAGGCATGAGCAAAACTTGTAAGCGAGTCTTCAATAAAAACATTATTTATAGTATAAATTCTCCACTTTACACAAAAAAGAATTTATAGCAATTTTTTTGTTAAACCCTGAACATGTGGCAACTGTCAGTCAAATTTAACCTCACTTTTTACAAATTTTTAATAAAGCCCGTTACTATATTTACTCCCCCAACTATTCCGTAGTCGACATTTTCTGAGATTCCGATAATATACCAATAGAGACTAATATTTCCAATAAATGGAAACCAAATTTTCCGAAAATTATTTACTTACAAACAAGGTGACCAACTCCTGAGAGTGAAAATCCGGGACAAACTAAAAATAGCACTATTTTTAAACAGATTTTTTATACTAGGTAGCAGCTGATTAACCTTATGTTCTGTGTGCTTAACCTTTCACCCAACGGATGAGCAAATCTTATAGCCGCAGTGGACATATGCAAATTTTCCGGTACTTACTTTATATGTTTATGTGTGCTACAAACCTTTTTATTAGGGATATAGCGAGGGGTGGGGGTGTCCCACCCCCCAATTTTTTTGAAATTTTGGGACGTTCCGATAATATATTTCAATATTTTCAAGCAATGGGAACAAAATTTCGGTGATTTTGAAAAATTTCGGAAAATTATTTAAAATATTATTTTTAAAGATACGAAAATGAATTACGTTCCTCATTTTTTGTGAATTAGTCCAGGAAACAAAGATTGTAGAACGAAAACTTGATGGTAGTCAGGTTTTATTTTTTTTTTCATTTAGAGTCGGGGGTGCTGATAATGAATCAAGAATATTCCCCAAAAATTTCTTTCCCTTATTTAGTACATAATCAAAAGTATTCGAGGTAAAATTCTGAAAAAATGCACGGTTAGCGAGTTATGAGCCAAAAAGCAAAAAAACTCCCCTTTCGAGGGATGACATTAGGGGACGCGGAAATAAATTTTTGGGGAATATTCTTGATTTATTATCAGCACCCCTGACTCTACATAAAAAAAATAAAACCCGACTACCATCTACAATCTTTGTTTCCTGGACTAAATTCCCTAGACGAAAGGTTTAAAAGCTTTATTAGCTGCCGACTGTAGCTGCAGCTTATGCCGACTAACAGCGATTTTCGATTTCCTATTTAAATAACATTAAAAAAATATTAAACTTTATAATTATATTGTAACTCGAAATGATCAAAACAAAACAAAACAAAAATGGCCTTTTATAATTATAATTTTATGGTAAATCTGCTAGTTCAAAACTATTGGAATAATTACAAAATGTCACAGGATTTTTTGTAGATAATTTTATTTTCCATAAAATTATGTTATTTTATAATTTTTAAATCGTATAGTTCAACAGTTACAAATTAATATTTTTGGTTAATAATTAATTTTAAGAAAATAGCAATTTTATTGCAACAAAATAATTTGTATAACCAGTTCTTAATTTTAGTCAATTGATCCGTTTAAGAATTATATAATTTCAAAATAAAAAAAGTCCCATGTTATTTAAATTAAAAATCGCGATAAGCGACCTCTTAATAATAATAACAGCCTCCTAAGACTATTAAATCAAATAAAAATGTTTTTTACAAATTTTAAAGGCCTTTAGATAAGCGCAGATCCAGGGTTGATGGGGGTTAAAAAAAGTAATACTGTTTTCTTAAACTCGACTTACAATACGTGACCCCCCAAACGAAATTTTTGGATCCGCCCCTCGTTAAATCGACTTATTTTGAACCAAATAGTACGTGGCCCTACATTGTACAGGCTTTTTTGGGAAACCTTGTATAAATCTTAACACAGTAAAAAAATCACGAAAAAAAAATTACTTCAATATTTTTGGTTTTAAAATGTAGGTTAATTAGCCTAAATTAATATCTTATTTTTAATGAAATTCTAAAGGAAGTTTACCCCAAAAGTTAGGACCAAAATAAATATTATTAAATAAATATTACACCAATGTATGTACCTATATTTAAAGATAATTAAATAGGAAATCAAACAAGTTTACGAATATTATTTCAAACAAATTGTTAGAACATCTGCAAGCACTACAATTTATAATAATTCTTGGAAGTTAAATAGCCCCATTTATCTGGTTTGATTAAAATTAAAATACATTATTACTCAGTGGTCTTCAGGAACAAAGAATACATTCTATTTTGGGTACCTGTCCCACAATTAGTTACATGAGCAATCGTACTCCACCATGAATCACACACACTTTTGGCAATGACCACAAAATAATGCAGCGATAAAATTTTAGATTAATAAAAATTATGTAAATATTTTTTACAAAATAATTATGTTGTTTTAAGGTGTCCTAAAATATTTTATTCAAGGTTTTATTGGCCGTCATATTTTGTGAAAAACTATTAAAAAATTAAAAAAATGTATTTTTTTTCGTTTTTATTTGACCACCCATAGGGATTTAATTGATAATAGGTCTCACATTCAAGCTTATTTAACTGTTTTAACTAAATATATATTTACGTTTTCCTTTGGTAGATAACCGAAAAATTATAGCTTTTATTAATTAATAAATTGCAGCCATAAATGGAGAAATCGGTCCTATGTGTTCAGCGGTCTGTTTTTTAGTGTATAAATTTACGTCAACTTTCTCTCTCCTGTGGATTAACATATACAACAGTTTTGTTAGTTATTAGCCGCTACAGGTTTTTAGTTGTTCGAGTCATATTCAAACTTTTATAGAATTAAGTATTGTAAAATACGACATAACCGTACTTAAAAATATAAAAAAACCATGTACCAAGTAACAAGAAACATTGGTAAAATAAATTATACGCATTTATAAAGTTAAAAAAACCGATTTTTAATGAAATAAAATCGCCTTTTTGGCAAAAGTTCAGTGCTGTTACACGCACATTTTTTTGTCCAATTTTATTAAAATTAGGTGTCATTTAAAATCTCACGTCAACTTTTGAGTTTAAAATAATAATAATATAATTCAAATAAAGTTTATTGGCTAAAATCTCACGAGAAGGAGGGGGGCCCAAATTATCAGAAAAATGCCTCACGTAATTAATGGATGTCATTTCTCTACTTTATTATGTTTAAATTTCAACGCCAAAATGGGACTCAAAACCGCGCATATCAATAGTTTTTCTCAAATATCTCAAAAAGTAACCAACCAACACCTTGTACACCAAAATGTGGGAATTTTAAAGGCCTTAAAAATTAGGCATCACTCAACCCTTCTTTCCTTTAAATAAAAAATCCCCCGCTTTTGGGTTGATGTGGGGCTAAAAATATATTGTCCCCCTAAAAATAAGAAAAGATGTATGCGAGCGTTTTTTTACGTAACACCTAAGAAAACCGGGGTGGAAACTTTTCATTGGCCCACACTGTATGTATAAATAATATTCATACATACAGTGTCCAATGAAGTTTCCACCAGGGTTTTCTTAAGAAATTATAATAATTATTAAAATGAGTTCAAGTTACTTGAACTTATTTTAATAAGGTACATTTAAATACATACTTTTCACTACTCCCTCTAAGTTGAACTCGAGTTCCCTTTCGGGATCCCTTTAACTCGAACAGTTTAACATTTCAGATCACAAATCAACTTGGAGAAAATTGACTGTAATACCAAAAATAAATTTAACCTAAGCATAAGAAAACTGAGGGTTAAAATAGAATACCTGCATTTTCGTAATGGCTACCTACCAGAGTTCATATGACATATTTTTAAACTTGTGTATGATAAAAAAAATATTTGGTGAAAAAAAAATATTTTTTAATTCCTTCCACCGCCCCAAAGCTATCCTAAATATAAAAATCATAAAATTCAGACGAGGGCAGAAAACGGTTAAAAAATTTAGCACAATGATTTTCAAAAAAAAGCTAAATGGGGCCCCCGTCAATTTTAAAAATACAAATATTTTCATACACATTGACTGGGGGGTCCGCCCATTTCGCTTTTTTTTTGAAAATTAAACTGCTCAACTTTGGAAAAGTTACTTATTCCCAAAATAAAAGACTTGGCTCAAAAAAAATATATATATTTATATTACTACCATTTTTTGCCCCAGCTCAAATTATAATTATAATTTTTGTCACCAACATGTTTATTTTGAAAACCAGTAACTTTTCCAAAATGGACACTTTTATTTTCAAAAAAAATAAGCGACCCCCATTCAGTGTCAAATATGAAAATATTAGTATTTTTAAAATTTACCGCGAGCCCTCATCTAGCTTTTTTTTTTAATCGATGTGCCCAATTTTAGAAAAGTTAATTATGCTCTTAAAAGATCTTGGCTCAAAAAAAAAAAAATTTAATCGTTTTTGCCCTTGTCTGAATTTTTTTAATTTTTATATTTAGGATAGCTCAGGGGCAGTGGAAGGAATTAAAAAAAATTTTGTCTACCAAAATATTTATTTTTATCATACACAAGTTTTCTATATACAGGCGTTTTCAATTTTAAAAATATTCATATTTCGCTCCACCCTACTGTACAACGAATATTACCGTAAATATAAATTTTGAGTGCCATTTTGGCAATTTTATTGAACACAATAAATAAATAAATGGCGCTACAAAATTTTGTACATTTTATTAAAATCTTACTAAAACAGTACTTTGAACCAGGGACTTGTAACAAAACCTCTTATACGAGTTCCTGGTTCTATAGAAACGAAACTCCGTGTCTGTCGGTATTGTTTTAACTAATATAGAAAGATTAATACATAATTAGAAACAGAACATTGGTAATCGTTTCCAACAAGTAACAAAAGAGGAACGAAACTTAAGTTGACAAAACTGCCGGAACTCTGAGCAGAAAACTGAAACACCTGGTATGAAAACGAAACCAACAACGTCACCTAAGTAATAAAATCGTTTCGTTACTCATGTAGTGTTACTAGTTTCGGTAGTTGTTGCGCTCCTACGATTTTCGTTATAAAGAGTTTAGATACCTAGCAATTTTGTTTCCGCTGAAACCGTTACCAATATGTTTTTAGGTAGGTACTAGTTTCGGTACTAATAAGTATCGTTTTGTTATCATTTTCGGTTGCGCATGTTTTGATACAATTTCGTTTCGATTCTTACTTAAAGAACGATACCGTAAAGTTCAACGCGTTCTATCCTTGTTCTTTTCACGCGGATATTGAACAACCGTCCTTCCCAACCCTGTCGGACTTGCGACACAGAGAAAAAGGGGGCGTGCCGATATGAAAATGCCAAATTTAAAAATGTCTAGGTAATAGTGTAATCGAATAAAATCAAAAAAGAGGCAGCAAATACCGAGAGCTCCCGCCTAGGTTAAACTTAGGAGCTTTTAAAATTGCTAGGAGACGATAGAACATTGTTGTCTTAAAAACATTTAAAACAAATTTGGCCAACTGTATTTACTAAGTTGTCAAAAGTTTTCAAAATATAAGGCTATTAATCTATGACTGATACTTCAGAACGCCAATGTTTTATAATAAAAAATCAAACTAGTTGTCCTTTATTTAGCTTTTTTTAATTAAAATTTTAATAAAACAACAAATTGGTACCACTAAAATAATAATAATAATAATATTTATTAACACCAATACCTAGTATGGTTAAGAAAAGTTAATACATATTAAAACATCAGTTACAAAAACAAATAATCTTTTAAAAAATTACAAAAACTATAAATTTCCGAAGAAGTTAACAAACAACATTAAAACTAAACTAAATATTATAAAGACAGTAGTAACACCTAAATAAAAAAAAGATGTTAATCTGTTTACAATAAGTGTTCAAATTGTGCATCATTCATTTGTAAACAAATCCGCGCTCTTCTTAAAAGGCTGGATTTTGACTCCATGACCATTTCGGGAGTAACCGTCGCTTAAGCGTCTTGGATGCGAGTCCTGAGCTGATCCTCTGTTTCGATGGGTTTACTATAAATAAAGTTTTTAACGTGTCCCCAAAGAAAAAAATCCAGAATATTTAAATCGGGTGAACGAGCAGGCCGATTTTTTGGTCCACCTCGTCCAATCCATCGGCCAGGATACTGCCCGTTCGCTGAACGTCTCGACTAAAATGTGGTCATGCCCCATCGTGCTGCAACCATTCATTCACTCGATATACCAGTGGCACGTCGCCTAACAAATTCTCTAAATCGTTTTCTAAGAAGTCTGCATAAATTTGGCCTGTTAACCGTGCAGGAAATTCAAAAGGTCCAACCTAGAGGAAAATGACCAAATTAGAATCAAAAGAAAAAATAAATTGTTTACATACAACGCGATCTCCTATTATAGCACTCCAAAAATTAATAGAAAATCGATGTTGGAACCCCCGTTGGAATATAGCATGCGGATTTTCATTTGCCCCTACATGTAAATTATGGGCATTGAAGCACCCTTCTCCGGCAAAATCTGACTCATCCGAAAACATAATGTTAGAGACAAAATTTGGCTGAAGATCTTATTGCTCTAGCAACCACCGGCAGAATTCCACTCTAGGTGAAGGTGCTGCACTCGGGTAAAATGAAAAAGGTGTTGCCGATCGTTCTTCATAACTACCTGAATTTTAGAACGGGAAATATCTAGTTCTCGAGCAACTTCCCTTGTGCTCTTTCTACTATTTTCCTCAAAGGCATTCAAAATAGCTTCTTCATTTTCCACTGTTCTAATACATTTTGGAGCACCTCCAATCCCCTTACGAAGCGGAACATGTTGCAACTTGACCGGTCTCTCGTGTTCTCGTGATAGTCATAAGGATCACTTTACTGTCCACGATTGGGAAAGCGCTTGAAAAAAACTCGCGCTGTCTCCCTGGAATTGCGCCCACACTCCCCATAAATAATTATTATTTCGGTATAATCATTTAAGGAAAACATTATTTATAATAACTTAATTTATAGCCCAATATATATTCTGGTGACATATTAAATTGGGGGGCAGAAACTAATATACATGCAAAAATTGGATAATAAACTATGTATGTAAGATGTGAGACCCATAAACCTATATTTAAATTAACACAAGTAATTATATAACCGGCGAGATTTTTGACTAACTGACCTTCCTCAAAACACGCAAATCGGCAACGCGTTGAGGGGCATCTTACTATTTCGCACGATTATGATGGCCGACTTCTACTGAAACAGATATATTCCGCCCGCACGCCGCACACCCCCGCCTTCATCGATACGTCAGACTAACAGTGCAAATTTGAATCCGCCCGGCTTGTAACTATCCACCCTAAAAAAGTTTACCCGTATTAACCGTCCTAAAGTTAATATTGAGAATTACATTTAAAAAGTTTTTTAGGGTGTAATATTACAAATAAATTAATTAAATATAATGTTTTTGAGTAGCATCGGGGGGACTCGGGAGGGCACTGCCCCGTTGCCCTCCCTGTATCAGCCGCCACTGATGGCCATCTATTGGGATTGGCTATTGTTTTTTATTCTTATCTCGCTTATCCTTTGCGTTAGACAATTTTAATTTTCAAATATGTTTCGCGTTACTTTCGGCACGTTCCCTTTTTCTCTGTGGCGCGAGTTCTGTATACGAGTTTTTTACAATATCATCTGCCAATATCATCTGCTCTGAAAAAGTTGCTGGCAACCCTGTTGCAAAATCGCTGTTGATTTAAACTATTACAAAATTTGTACCTTCAAAAATTATATCTATTCTTTATTTAAATTAATCTATATCAATCAATATTATTTAAGTTTATTAAAAAATGGCGAAGGTGCCTGGATGTATTTATATTTAAATACAGAGTTTACCTAATATGTCTTTTGATAAATAAAAAAAATTACAGTGTACCATTTATAACATTTAAAGAAATAATGCTTGAGAAAAAACTAAAAAAAGTGTTTAACATGCTAACAAAGTGGGCGACAGTGTAAATAAAATGTCATTATTTACTTTAAGTACACTTCTGTTGGCACGATAAAAACAAGAAATAAAAATAAACTCTTTACAAAACACCTGCCGGCATATCAATGTTAAAGCTGCAAATTTAAGTTATTTGCATGTCATTTTTGTATCACCAAATTGCGTTTTGTTTTTTCTCTTATCTGGATAGTACAAAGTTTTAATTAAAAAAATAAATTATAAGTAGCTTTATCCTAGATAAATCTCAAGCATGGCGCTTATATGAAGTTCTGTAGTGATTTTTATTAAATTTTTATGTTCTATGTAAAAATGTATTGTTTTGATTTTATTCTTTGCACGTGTTTATCAGACTAACATCACTAAGTAAAAATATGAACCACGCAACCAATTTATCAAAAAATTTGGCTTAATTATTCTAGAGTATTTGTAGTTATTTATTAGCGTAACTGTAGTTATTTATTAGCGTAACTTGTAGTTATTTATTAGCGTAACAATGTATTCTTTTATTTTAGGACGCCAGATTTCCTTTAACAAAACTTTGTTACCCAGACACCGACGTCTTTCTCCTTTGCTTCTCCGTGGTGCAACCGGAATCCTTCTACTCTGCCTGCACGAGATGGCACGACGAACTGACGCGACTGGGAACCGCCGTCGTCCTGGTTGGAACTCAAGCCGACCAAGCGCAGGACTTCGAGGTCCTTCAACATCTGCAGAGACACCGACAAAGGCCCGTCATGACCGTGGAGGCACAAATTTTGGCTGAAAAACTGAACGCTCCCTACGTCGAAACGTCAGCGAAAACTTGTGCGCAGCTAAAAGAGGCCTTCGATCTTGCCATCACTTTGGCCATGAGCAAACAGAAGAAACGGAAGTTTTGGAGGAGGCTTTGCTGCGTGTGATCTACTTTATTTTGTTTATTTATTGTTCTAGGTTTAATAGACTTTTAAGTCAAGTATTGCAATCCAGTAATAAAGTGTTAAAAATTTATTTGTAATTTAAGCAATATTAAATTATTATTAAATTTTTAATGTTTATCGCAAATGTATTATTGTCTCTCTATAGTATTATTGACTGAATTTATTATAGTATTAAAATATAACCTTTCTTAGTAATTAATAATTTGTTTCACACTATGAAATTGAAATCTTATTCATTTCCTATTTGTTTATAACAATTTTATTTTGACTTTTTAATTATTTTTTATCATTTTTCCCAAATAGACTGCTTTGATTTTAAAATTAACATAAATATTTTTAATACTCTATATTTTTATGTTATCATTGATAACTTTTTAAAAGTGATTTATTCGATAAAAATTTTATGTAGGTAGCTTGACTATAGTTAAAACACAATATATAAAAGTGTAAGTTTATTTTGTATTAACACATGATAAAAACAAAAATCTGTTATGCTTTTATACAAAGGTTGTATCACAAAACCTACACTCTATTTTTTAAATTGTAAATATATTTGTAAATACAAATAAATAGGTACAAATTTTCATAATTTTAATAAATAAATATGTAACTTAACGTAACTTTTTATTCAAGCCTGCTCTACGTACGTTTAAAATTAAAATTATAATATATTTTTTATTTGTTAATTAAACTAGCTACTTTAATTGGTGGTTTTCTAGGGTGCACCAAGTAGGTATCCTTCTATGTATACATAGACAAACCCATGTACGGGTATCTTTTTTATTTGAAGAGAAAAAAAAATTACATTTAAAAATTGGCAACAAAATCTGCGGTTTTCAAAAAAACTTAAAACCTTTCAAAACCAAAAATCTTATAATTTGTGATTTTTTTGCATACTAGATTTTGGGTTACCACCACCATATTATATTTTTTCGATGACCGCCACATTGAAATTTTAAATAGTTAGATATGAAGAAAATCAAGGAATACAACGATGTTTTAAACTACATAAGTTATGGCCAGTATAAAAACAAAAGATATTGATGGTAACTTAAAATCTAGTAGGCAAAAAAAAATCACAAATTGGAAGAAAATGTAAAACAATGAATAACAAAGTTATAACTTATATAAAACGATTTTTGGTTTTAAAAGGTTATTAGTTTTTTTCAAATATTTTGAGAAGTCAGTGCTGGGGACTATAAGTCGAGTGGTCGTGGGTTTGAATCCCACATGGGTATGGCTGTTTATTTGTGTTTGTTCAGGCTTAAGTGGTAGAACAGCTAATGCTAAACTTCGCCCTTTGAAAAAAAAATCAAAAATGTTTGCAAATTTGGAAAATAAAACATTTTTAAAGAACCAACAAAAGTAGTATTTATCCTCTACGTCGCGACGCATTGTAGTGTCTACGAGAACAAGAAATTTGCAAAAATCAGTCCATGTTTCGAACTTAAAACCACTCTCTAAAAATGAATTAGTCAAAAATTACTACTACAGTTGTTAGTAGCTGCTTTTTCACTTAATTATAATTATACCATGGGATAGCATGGTATCCCCGATATAATAGCAAGTACTTATGTAAAATTGTCCGCATAATCCGAAAATGTCGTAAAAAGTTATAAAAGTAAAACAGTTTTTGAGTTAGTCAATTTTCCATATAATATGGAATTGACTATATCTCAAAAACTGCTCTACTTTTATAGTTTTTGACAGTATTTTCGGATTCAGGGGACAATTTTACATAAGAATTGACTTTTATATCGAGGATACCATGCTATCCCATGGTATAAGTGAAAAAGCAGCCACTAATAACTAGTCATTTTTGACTAATTCATTTTTAGAGAGCAGCGAGGTCATTATGAGTCCAGAGCTGAACACATTTTTAGACGATTTTTAAACCTTTAGTCATCTTGTCTTTATTCCGTTTTTAGAAGCATTTCGAAACTAAGACAAAAATAACATAACACGTTATAAACTAAATGTGTGGTAAAAATATAACTATATTCCATACTTGGAATTTTAGACAAAAATTTGTATTATCTTCACCTAGCTAATTTAGAAAAACTACATTAGGGATAATCTATACATATACATATGTATAAATATATATTTACTGACTGATAAATTCATCAACGTTCAGACCAAATCGCTGGACCTAAAGGGCTAACATTTTTACATCCCAAGTAGCATTATAGTGACGAAAACTGATATCGAAATTTCAAATGAGTGGCAATTACGTTAAAATAACTAAATCTACCACGAACAGTTAAAATATCTTCATATTATATTATAAATCATATTTTATTAATTAGCATAGTTGTAATCATGTGATTTTTACCAGCAGAATATACTTCCTAGTTTAATAACTTTTTGGTCTGATATATGAAATGTTGAACACTTTTTACATCACCTTAAAGTTGTCTAAATTTTAAAGTGGATTAAAAATAGTAACGGCAACTAAACCACATCACTTAAGTATTACTTTAAAGTGGTAGTAGTAGTAGTAAAGTGGGTATACCAGTTTTGGCAACTTTTCCCAAACCTTGAATGTGCAGAACTTAATTATATAATTGGGGTTGTCATTGCCACGTTCTTGCTACATGCTTAAGTAATTTACACGTTTTGCATAGGATTACCACTTTAAAATTCCCTTCTTCAAAAGCAGACATGTTGACAAATAGTTGCCATTGTATGAAAATAAATTTCTAGTTTTAATCAAATAATTCTAGTTAGTACCGCTCCAAATTTAACACGATAATAGATAATTATTGGTTTCAGGTGACCAGAAATATTAAAGAAATTATTTGAGGCCTCTAGATAAATAATTTTTAGATCCGCTAAGTTTACAAATTTTTATATTTTTTTCATTATCACATATTTCAACGGGGCGTGCTTATAGTTCGAGCTATTACACCCATGTTAAAACGGTAAAATTTTATTCGTGTTAATTGTTAATGTCTACGGATTAATTTAATTCTAGTTAAATTAATTAATTGCAAGTTGTATCCTAACATTATAATAATTTTAGTATTCAGTGTCAGATAATAAGATAAATAATATGCGGGTATCTATAGAAAATAAAGAGTAGTAAAGTTTTGCTTAAGTTTTGGCTACTATACCGCCACATTATAGTAACGTAATCGCAACGTTGTATTAACGTGTCTGTATACAATCCAAGAACGTTGTTGGAACGTAACTGACACTAAAAAAGTATTCCCCACGTCCACGTAATAGGACCGTTTCTACCACGTGGCAGAGATTTTGGCAATTCACTTTACAGTTCCAAGTGGCCGATACGTTTCGCCCACTCCAAAATTTAGTTATAATATATCCCGGCGCATTCGCCACTTTTTAAGTATTTAAAGGCTGAACGGATATTGATGAAATTTAGTATGTTTTTTTGACGTTTTTTCTTTTGCCTACTTTTTTTTAAACCAATGAGCTACAGTTCTGTATGTTATGTAAACAACAACAAAAATATAGCAAAAGTTGTTAAATATTATGCACATGCACTTAACTCGTAACCAAGGTTGAATAGAAACAGGATGTTTGTCGTACAAAAAAGTTCCGTATAGTCTCCGAGTTCTGGGCGTGGTTTAGGCACTTACCAATCACAATTCACAATTTAATTTGAAAGAAAGTATTACGTCACGAGAAAGCACCACCCCGAACCGGGAGGGGAAGCACGCTTCTTCAACGGATCTAACTATCCTGTTTCAAGTATTCATGCTCGTATCTATGTATCTTAAAATTAAAATGAGGCTCAAGATTTAAAGTTATTAGGTACTTGAAGTGTAGTTCAATTTTATGGACAGTTTGTTTTAGGTAGTTTTATGTATACAATGTTACTGTAACATTGTTACATACTATACATGTATATGTAGGTATACTAAATATTTACGGTCACAAAACATTAACTTTAGTACATCGGCAGGGTTAGTGACACTCTTTGGGCAGGAGAAAACAAACAACCAACTTATATACAGTGTGGTTTTCTCTCGTATGGAATAAAACTCGTTATTCAATGAGAATGTTTTTACTTAAGTTTTTTATTTCAAATCTTATAATTTTATTTTTTAATTTTTTAATTTTTTACCAACACTTTCTCAGGAAACTGTGTCTAAAATACATGCACAATTTCGTGAATATGGACACCTTAAACCATTACGCAAGATGCCTAATTTTATTGATGAACATGTGAAAGTCAATATTTTATTAGCTTTTTAAGAAGATCCAACAACTTTTATGCGACAGGTTGCACGTGAAAACGACGTTTGTAATTCAACTGTTTTAAGATGAATTGATTGACGGTGATTCTGATAAAAGATGCTGGATATGTTAAACAGGAATGTTATTTCTCCTGCAGATATTATTTTTTCTGATAAATCAACATTTCTTCTAAATGGCGAGGTAAATAGGCAGAATTGCAGATACTGCCCAGTGGCAGAAGAAAACCCTCACTGGGTGTGACAAAGTCATACCCCTAGACAAAACCAATAAATAGCTAGCTATCTTAACAATATGATTTTGAAGCTACAAATTCAAAAGAACTAAACGCATCGTTGCGTTCTTTATTACTCGTTTAAACGGATAAATTTATTTATTAAAAAAAGTTTTTGATTTTGAATTTAGTTTTCGTAAACAATTAATGGACAAGCCACCCAAAAATTTTACAAAAATTAAAATGAATATGTGATTGGGTTAAAAAACCGGATATTTATGTAACATTTTATATATTTTTTACAAACATACAAAAAATACAGATTTGTTTAATAAACCGAACGTTAGGATTTTAATACTTCTTAAACTCAAATATTACAATTATCACCACTTTAACTACAGAAAATGCACAACCAAAAACTTGAAATTCACAATAACAAAGCTAACGACGTCACACCAACTTGCAGGTTAGAAAATAAATGCTGCGTTGCCATTGCGTATGTTCTTTGATGCAGTCTGCAGCGCCTCCTTTAAATTCAAAGAAACTAAAATGATTCCCAAGGTTACCAATATGAGAAAAACATCTAATGGTTTTGTCTAGGGTATGCATACCCAAAGTACTCAGAAAAT